CTGAATGCCTCCAGGCCTGGAAGTGGGCCGCAGCCCAAGAGTTGGGGACCCTGGGTTAAGTCATCTATTGTTACATTGCTGTTGAACAGTATTGTCTCAACCAATTTGGACTCCATTTGCATGTTCAGTGTGAAGAAAGGGGCTCTCATAGAGGGCTTGTTCATTCACAAAATGACCACCACAGGGGTTGAGAAAAGTGTTAAGCAACCTGATGATGCTGTTCCCTCCCATTGTCACTCCCATTAATTCACTGTTAAACATCCTCTACCGACTTTCTCTTTTATCTTTTGTCTGGAATAGTAAGTACTGAACTACAACCACTTTGCCTACTTACAGGTAGTCCTCGACTTACAAGTGGTTGTTTAGCAACTGTTCAAAGTTATAATAGACTCCTCCTCAAAAACTACTGATGACCTGGTTTTAAAGTTCGGACATCACCACCACCACCCCCCGAGCAGTGGTGGAATTAAAAATTTTTAACCTGTTCTGTGGGCATGGCTTGGTGGGCATGGCAGGGGAAGGATACTGCAAGATCTCCATTTGCTGGTTTTCCGAACTACTCAAAATTTTCACTACCGGTTCTCCAGAACTGGTCAGAACGTGCTGAATACCCACCTCTGCCCCCGAGTCAAGTTACTGCATTTTAGGGGCTCCTGCCTCTCCTTGGAATGTGTTCTACCTCCTCCACCTCTGTAGGTACCATCCCTTACAACTCATTTCCCTTGGCTAAGGCCTGCACCATTTAAAAATACCTGATCTGGCACTCCAAGCAATGCCTGATGATTAACCTCACCCCTACCCTCAAGATCCAAAACCTAACTGCCTGGAGGCTGGCACACTTTTTCTTTTATTAAGATTATTTCACTTTTAAACAAAGAGTAAGTCGGTACGCTAATGCAAACAACTTTCAGAATCTTCTTTTGTGAATTTTCCATTCACAAAAATCTGAATGACCCCAATGACCAGAGAGGAAGGTGACAAGACATAACACAGCTGGGAGTTGTGCAGGAGGCAGAGAAAGAGAATAGAATTTCCCAAGGTATATCCATTCTATCACTACTAGTATTAAAGGTTTAGTCTGACATGATTTTGTCTGTTGGACATAAGCAAATAAAAACTGAACTTTTGGCTGGATTATTCTATGTTGTTCTTGAGCTGGCCCTGACATGAGCCTTATTAGAATGTTTGGACAAATATACAAGGATACCAAAATCCAGTGCTAATCCTGACCATGATGGGAGGCCAATGTGATAGGGGATAAAATAAAATTTCCTCATTTCACAATCAGATAGCACAATATAGGAGATCAAACCCATCAAGACAAGATTCAGTGGTCCATCTGCTTTTGAAAGGCAAAGGCCATTCTTTTTGAAGATAGCAAAGTCCACAATTTGGATAAAGAGGCCCATTGGTTTGAAAGAAGGGTAAAATAATTTATCTGTGTTGGAATTGAACACCGGTCCCTTTACACAGCAAGAGGAATAAGACATCACCTATCTCCAGTCTACGACGCAGCCCTTGCAGCAATTCCAAGAAAATTTCACAATCAATTGCACCCTGATTCAGGTGACCCTGAGGGCACAGATACCTCCCCCTGCTCTGAACTCCCTTGGAGAGCTAACAATGACTGCAAAAAATATAATCCTTCCATTCCTCTCCTCTCCCCCCCACCCCTCACCATTCTATCAAAACCTATCTTTACACACACACACACACACACACACACACACACACACACACACACGGTCCAGTCTCAACTGTCTGTCCCTATCTTTCCACCCGTGCCCCCTGTCAGAACTGATGGAGCTTCTTGGATGAGAAGTGAAATGTTTTCTTCTTCCTCTTCAAGGAAAAAACAGTCCAGTTGCCTTTTCAAAAAAATTAAATAAAAACATCTTGGAGACAACTATGATCTGAATGACTGAGAATCTCTACAGACATTTCCTCAGGAAGACTATCCACTTCATCACCGTCTTTCTTTGAAAATCTAAAGTTATCTAAACTTGCTAGAGCAAGAAAATAGAGAAATATTCAAGATGACGAGTAGGTGACCATTGCAAGGAGAAGCAGAAGACTTGAGGGAGCAGCACTGGGCAGCCATATTTGAAGCACTCCCAGTATTACATTTAAACCTCACGATTCAACCAACTTTTGCTCCAAGAATCGTTTTCAACTAAAACACCTGCAAAAATATAGTTATAACAGGTCCATTTGAGCAAATGTTTTTCCATTCATGCAGCTAATGAGTTCAGATTTCAGATTTTTTCCTATATAGAATAATAACATAAAACAATAATCAAGTTGGAGGTCTTCTAGTCCAACCCAGCTCAGGCAGTAAACCTTATCTCTTCTTAAAAGCCTCCAGTGTCAGAGCACCCCAATGTCTGGAGGCATGTCATTCCACTGGTTAATTATTCTGTTAGAAAATTTGTCCTTAGTTCTAGGTTTATTCTCTCATTGATGAGTTTCCATCCTTTGCTTCTTGTCTTGTCTTCAAATCAGATTCAGAATGGAATTGGAAGGGAGTTTCGAGGTCTTTTTAGTCTAACCCCAGGGGTGAGATTCAAATTTTTTAACAACCGGTTCTGTGGGCGTGGCTTAGTTGGTGTGCGTGGCTTGGTGGTCATGTTATTGGCTGGGAGTGGCCAACTCAATATCACTCACATCGAGGCACGCATCTCCTCGCCTGGCCTCTCATGACTGTGGGGATGCTGCAACAGTCATAAGTGTGAAAAATGTCACGTCACTTTTTTCAGTGCCATTGCAATTTTGAATGGTCACTCCACACAAGCAAAGTACCAGCAAAGGAGGGAAAAAAACCTCTAGAGACGGTCCTGAGACAGGAAGTCTAGTCCTGCCAAGAATGTAATAAGGGTTAATGGAGAGCCAGTTTCTGTAAGCAACATCAGAATGTTTCCTTCCTGCCTTCCTTACAGGATTAGGCCAGTAATTTCTTCTAACAACTGATTCTCCGAACTGCTTAGAATGATAACAACTGGTTCCAGCGAATAGATGCGAACTGGTAGAATCCCACCCCTGTCTAACCCCCTGTTTGAGCTGGAGACCCTATACCATTTCAGACAATTTGCTATCCAGTCTCTTCTTAAAAACCTCCAGTGATGAAGCATCCACAACTTCTGAAGGCCAGCTCTTCCACTTGTTAATTGTTCTCACTGTTAGGAAGTTTCTCCTTCCAGGTTGCTTCTCTTCTTGATTAGTTTCCATCTGCTGAAAGGAAAAAAGAAACCTTTCTATTTAAGGATCATTGAAAGGCAGAGCTTTTTCCCTTTATGAATTCAAATTTCCCTGCTGGGAGATTTACTACAAAATGATTGGAAATCAGCTACGTTGGAAGCAGGAACCAGTTAAGAAAAGGCAAAGGCAGGATTCCTGAGGCTAGCCTGTTGAACTGTAAAAACCCCTTTTAAACTCTTATTTGGCATGTGAACCTTTGAAGTCTTTTGATTTGGCATGTGTGATTGGTTTTTTTTATGGTGTTTAAAACCTGTTTGGGTTCTTCCGTCCTGGGATCTGGGCGGAAAGCAAATAAATAATTGTTTTATAGTCCAATCTCTGTTTTTCCTGGCCCTTTGTAGCTGCTCGTTCCCTGTAATTAATCAGTTTGCATTTTCTTGCAATATCCTGAGCTTTCTGTTTATGCCTTAGGTTTGCTATTATGGTTTAATTCTTTTCTTCCTGCCTGTCTGGTTCCTCCATGTTTTTTATTACTGTGTTTTGGTGAATATCTCCTTTTCTCGTGTGTCTAAAGTTCTTAATTACTTTGGCTTGATTTCTGTTCCTTTTGGGTGTTTGCTTTTGCTGTTTTCACAATTTTATAGTTTGCCATCTATTCGATTTCTAGGGGAAAGGGGGGTATTAGCTAATTTGTAGGGTTTTTCTCTGTATCCCATGGTATTTGGATGTGCTGGCTCATGTAATTTTATCCTTCCTTTGTTGTGGAGAATAGACTGGCTTCAGCTTTTAATGGCCCCATTGACAAGGGTGAGGGTTGAATCTCTGCCAGATTTTCTACTTCTCTTTTCTTTTATGGGAATTTTCCTGTCCCTTTCTTTTCCAAGGAGAGGGGTGAATCATAACTTCCAAAACATCCATTGCTTCTTGTCCTGCCTTCTGGTGCTTTAGAGAAGATAAGTTGATCCCCTCTTCTCTTTGTAGCAGCTCTCAAATACTGGAATGTCACCCTAGAAATGGAGTATGAAGTGCTGCAGATGGATCCAGGCACCGGGTGGTACAGAAGCCAGTGCATACAGAAGTCAACTGTTTTGACCAAGAGCCAGGAAAAGTTGATCATGCTATAAAGCAACCATTCTTTTTTGGGTAGGAAAATTGTAAAAAGGAAAAAAAAGGGAGGGGAAGGGATAATTGCTTTCAGAAAGGATAGAGTACTCTTTACATCTGGTAAATGGGATCTGCAACAGTGACTGATAGACTACAGAAACCAAAATATTACCGTGATATTAATGGAAAAACAAGTCCAACTATCCCCCAAAATTTTTGCCAGCTACTAAAGTTATGAAGCTGGTAAAAGAGAAAAGGGGAGAGAAAGTTTCCTTCTTTATGTCATGTGTGTTTTGTTTTTCTTCTGGATCTTCAAGGCAAGGGAGCTCGAGTCTCTTTCCCCACTTTTGTCTCTTCACAAGGAAAATTAGGATACAATAAAACAAACGGTCCAAAGACACTGAGATGGATGTAGGTCACAACCTGCATCTTCTCCCATGTCCTGAGATAACATCCCGTGTTGATCCCCCACAGGTCGAAGTTAAATGAAACCCGCAGGGTCATGGGAGTTGTAGTTCTACGCTTCTGAAGCGGAAAGCTAATATCCCACCCTCCGGGACAAACCACGTGAGGAATCTCCGCGGAATGTCGCCGCGAGGGAGTGATGTCACCACGCACGTCGACGTCCTCTCTTTCACCGCCCTCGCGCCCACCGCTTCCTGGGGGCAACCGGAAGGAAGGAGTCTGGCAGCCGCGACTGGGAGAGGAAGGGAAGAGTCAGCGGGCGCCATTTTGGGAAGCGCTAGGGTTCCTTTGCTCCGTACTTGAGCCGAAGAAACCTGCGGCCTGCTTCGGATTGTGGCGGCCTTTTGCCACGGGAGACGAGGCGGTCGGAGCTTGAGCGGGTGGCTTGCCGCTTCTTCCGTTAGGCGGAGAGCAAGAGGAGGAAGCAGTCGGGAGTGGGTGGGCGAGGGCAGCGAGACTGCCCGGAGTAAGTGCCGAGAGGTTGGGAAGACCGAGGGCGGCTCGTGCAGGGGTGCCTGTGGTAGGCAGGCAGAGAGCGAGCGAGCGAGCGAGCGATTTTTGGTGGGACTCTTTTTCGGGCGCTGAGGGGGTAGCAGGGAAGGGTGGGCGGCGGGGATCTGCTGCCAAGGGTGAAGCTTTTGGGCCCCAGAGGGTGGGGGGAATCTTAGCCTTTAATGCTTCAGAAAGGGGGGAGTATGTTACTCTACAGAAGGACTTCACATTTGATGTAATTACAAACGGGGCGCAAAGAATATAAAACCCCAGCAGGAACGCGGGGTGATAGGACTACATAGCATCTCGCTTTGTTGGAAGAAGCTTGAAGAGGGGTCCCTTTACTAGTTGTGAAATCTGAAGTTCTTTAGGTTCTTGAACCCTTGGCTTGCCCTATGATGAAAAGGAGCATCAGGAGGTGTGCTATAGAGGTGTATCCACGATCTTGAGATGTGCCTGTTGTTCCCTGGCTAATTTCCTTTGTTTGGCCTCTACTTGTGGAAGAAGAACTAAGAAAAGACACCTTGCCAGGCTGTGGATTTGCAACTGTTCGATACCTTCAGTTGCCTCTTCTACGAATTAGATTATGGCTGCCAATATAGGAGACCAGCATTCTTCAGAATGGTGATTGCAAACTTTTATTTTAATTTCAGCTCGTGGTGAAGGGAAGAGTTGATTTGGGTTATGATTGAGCGGCTTTGAAATAGGTGTCTACTAGCAAAGCCTTATTACTTGGCATTGTTTATGTGAAGCGATGTACTATTTTTAAGTGGGTGTTTGTTTTTAAAAGCACGTTAATATTTCCATGTTGTGATTAAAGATAGGTAACATGCAACATTCTAGATGCTGATGGACCAACTCCCATCTGCTGTAATGGCTGCTGGTATAGCAACATATTTTGAAATACAAATTATTCACTTCTGAAAGATTCTAGGAGGTATTGTTTTTTTTCTTCTGTATCTCTAAAGAGGATTCTAACCTACAACTGATAATACCACAGTCAAACTTAAAACTGAGGAAGAGGAAAGGAAAGCAATTGCATCCATTTTGTACTTATGGAAGGGCAAGGCTACTGAATTGTAAAACTTGTTGACTTTTTTGATAGGAACTCCAACGAAATTCCCAAGGGTGGGAGGTTTCAGGTAAAAGGAATAATGATTGCAGTATCTTTAGGATACCTCAAATGCAAATTTTGTTATGTTAATCAGGAATTATCAGTATTTGGGTTTCAATTTAGTTTTTTTTAAATGTGTTTTGCTTTCAGATTTGTTTATATGTTTTTTTTTTAAAAAATAGTGTAATTTCACATTTTTCAGAATTACCCTTTTTGGTAATAAATTTGGATTTGCATTTTTATTATTATCTAACCTTATATTTTAATTATTGCTAACTTGTAGGGTTGATCTAACTTTTCTAGGAACTAACTGCCTTTTGCATGTGAAAAGATAATTTCTATTCAATAATGTAAACATATTCTTAGAAGATGACTGCTTTGGTTTTTGCTATTAAACACTTTAAACTTTAAAACAGGGGTGTCAAATTTGAGACGAAGATGACGTATCACAACTTTTTTCCCCTTCACTAAACCGGGTGGGTGTGGCCAGCATGTGATGCATCCGGGCCACAAGTTTGACACCCGTGCTTTAAAACTAATATACTTCCTTGGATTTGGGTTAGTCGGTGTGGATTTTTAAATAAGTAAAATAATTAAAGTTAGATAAAATACTGTAAGACTTTATAAATTAGATATTGGAAATAACAAGCCTTCTTATAGAGTAAAAAAAATCTCATCAGTAAAGATTTGTAATTGCAATAGCTTTCTGAGTGAATAATCTTAGCTAAAGTTGTTTATATCTTCAAAGAATGCAATTTCGTGAAAAATCTCTGATTTTGAGTTATTTTGACGTAATTGAAATAGTGTACTTGTATTAATTTAAAAAGTATTTTGTAAGGAAAAAATCAGCAAAACCCTTTTCTTTGACTTGATTCAAGTTGAAATGAACATTCTGCTTATGACATCATAATGCTAATGATATCACAAACTTATAGGTCTTGAGTAGTTGACCATCAAGATATCATGGTAGAAGGATAGGTTAAGTAACACTTTCCAATTAAATATAACTATTTTAGCCATCAGATGTGGGTGAGTATTGGTTTTGGTTCATTTGTTACTTGATAATATATTCCTGTGCAAATAATGTTGAATTTTGTTGTCATTTTGTCTTGGTAAAATTTGCATGAATATTGACAATTTTATTTTTGACTATTTTGTGACATATAAACAGCTTTAATTTGTTCTTATTCTTATTGTGAGCTGTCCTCAGAATTTGGTTGTAAGACAGCTAGGCATAAATGCTCTCTTAAAATTACTCCTATCACCAAAACATAATAATAGGGCAGGATTTCAAACTTATTTTTTTTTAAAAGCAAAAAAATAGAAAAACTTTCTTAGATTCTTATTATGAAATGTGGAACTATTTTGTGGGGTATTGCTCACATACATGAATAAAAATTCGAATTCTTGAAAAACAAAATCCAGTATCATTTTACAGAGTTATCATAACATATGTTGTAAAGGGGGAGAATTGTGAAACAAAGAAAAAAGTATGTCTAGGTAATTAGTTGAGCAAAACTACTTATGCTTGCCAGTTGGAGTGACTAAACACATTTGCTAATGGGAGAAGCCAAATTTCTCAGTACATTATACTAAACAGCACAGAAGGCACTTCTATTCTTGCTGGCAGGAAAAGCATGTTTCTCATTTAAGAGGAGGCAAAAATCACACAATTCTGGATCTGGAATATGCAACTGATTGTGTTCTAGCAACAATCTAAAATTACTGTCTCATTAAAAATGTTAATTATCCTGACGTACCTGAGAAATGTGTATCATAAAAATCAAGAATTTTTCACAAAGTTTTTGAATCTCAAGTCGGCAGTATCTGGCTCTCCAATGTCAGTCTGCATGGTGAATGATACTAGAAGTTTCAGTCTAACATCCTAGGGTCAAATGTAGGAAAAGAGTGATGAGCAAAAAAAGTTTATATAAATAGTCCTTAACTTATAACTACAATTCAGCCTAAAATTTATATTGTTAAGCAAGACAGTTATTAAGTGACCATTGCCTCATTGTATGACTTTTCTTGTGACAATTGTTAAATGAATCACTATAGTGGTTGAGTTAATATGGATGTTAAGTGAATCTGGCTTTCCCATGGATTTTGCTTGTCAGAAGATCACAAAAAGTAATCACATGACCCTGGGACACTGCAGCCATTATGAATACATGCCGGTTGCTAAGGGTATGAATTTTGACCATGTGACCACAGGCATACTGAAATAGTCGTAAGTATAGAAAACAGTCATAAATCACTTTTTTCAGTGCCATTTCAATTTTGAACAGTCACTAAATGAAGTGGTTGTAAGTCAAGGAATACCTGTAATGCATAGGCTTACTTAGGACAACTTTCATTGAGAATAGAATAGAATTTTTTATTAGTCAAGTGTGATTGGAAACACAAGGAATTTGTCTTTGGTGAAGTTGAACTGTCAGAAATCTTTTGATTATTTTACTGTCATCTATGGCCATGGAACCAAGCTTAACTGTACGCCTAGAATACTGTTTTTTTTAATGAGAAGCAGCAGTGAGGGAAGTATTGGCTATCTTGGGGTTACCAAAGATTCCAATTTCTACAAAGCAAGTACTTGGTAATATTCTTTCATATAATTGGTTGTTATTCTGTCTCTTGAACTGAGAAACTTGCTGAAAGCTTGTTTCAATATTAATTTGAGGTATACTATATGGAGAACAAGGTAAATATTTTGGACACAAATAGATGGGCAGATAATAGCCTACATGAGCTTGTTAACCTTATTTCAAGGCGGAATTAGGAACTGACATAAAAATGAAGTCAAACATAGGTTCTGGATTGACAGGTATAATTGAAATTGGCATTATATATTGACTAAGGTCCATGAGCAGAGAAGCATAACATCTCTGGTAATTTTTACTCTTATAATCATGTGAAGCTAATGAAACAGAATCTCTTCCTGTTTCACTATGTTTTCTCGACCTGGTTTGACACTATTCTTTAGCAAGCTCTAAAGTCATAATAGCTCATGTTTATATAGATGGATTTTCTGTGATGACTCAGGAGCTGAAAAACAATTAGACTGAACCTGAATTCAAATGAAACTTACTAGATGTTCTTGTTGGCACCCTTGGGCAGTGAGTCCTGTAAACTGAAGACAAACATATCTGAAAGTTGAAGTTGCTATGTGATTTCAATGATACATGGGAATAAAAGTCCCAGCAACTTTCTTTTCTTCATCTATTTTCTCTCCTATTTTATAGGGTTTCACAGTACAACTTGGGTACTGCAAGCACCAGAGAAAACGGGATGGAAGGCCCAATGCATGAGAACCCTGAATGGGAGAAGGCTCGGCAAGCACTGGCTAATATTAGCAAGGCCAATGCTTCAGCTGCTTCAGGCAACAGTAAAGGGGCCACCAACGGTCAAGCTAATGCACAGGTAAAAAGGAGCTAATGATTCTTTAGGTGCCCTTGCATTATTGTTTGCGTCTTAAATTTATAATTTGAAAACATACAATTGTTTGAATCAGCCTTGGTCATTTAAGACTTAGACTAAAATCTACTTCATTTTGTTTATTGCTAACTTGGGATTTCAGAATCAATAAGAAATCAAATTCTGTTCAAAACTAGTATTCTGAGGAGAGTCTTAAGTGGGGAAGCTGGAAATGAATGAAGCTAATGCCAGTATTCTATTGATGTATCTCTTGGAGACAGTGGAACACACTGTTTTTTTTAATTGGGGACTATAGAGAAGAGAACCTCTTTATACTGAAATGGCTTTAGAGTCTGCATTTTGGGGATTCTTAAGCACTGGACTGTCACTGGATCTGCCATCCTGAAATCAATCAGGAAAAGATTTGGACTTGTTAGAGAAGTACCCTTATTTTCACTTCGTAGTAGTGGGTTGGTCCGTACATGACACACTTCTGCTACTTTTCACAGTACTCAGCACAGCAAGGAGAATCCCTGCAGCAGCAACAGCAATACTACCAGTGGTATCAACAATACAGCTATCTCTACCCCTATAATTACTATTATCCTATGGTAAGTAATAGCATTTGGCTTTGACTAACGTCACAAGCTCCCTTTAGGATGTCTTGAACTAGGAGAGGGGCTCAAGTCTTGTAAAAGCAGAATACATGTAGTCCTCAACTTACAACAAGTCGTTTAATGACCGTTTGAAGTTACAGTGGCACTGAAAAAAGTGACATCACTATTTTTCACACTTATGACCATTGCAGTACCCCCAAGATCATATGATTTACATTCGAATGCTTGAAAACTGGTTAATATTTATCACAGTTGCAGTGTCCCGGTGACATGTGATCATCTTTTCCAACCTTCTGACAAGCAAAGTCATTGGGAAAGCCAGATTCCCTTAACAATGGTGTTACTAATTTAACAACTGCAGTGATTCACTTAACAAATGTGACAAGAATAGTTGTAAAGTGGTGCAAAACTCACCTAATAAATTTCTCACCTAGCAACATAAATTTTGGGCTCAGTTGTCATAAATTGAGGACTACCTGTGTAAAATGAGGCAAGGCCGAATTTTCCAGAGAAAATTCATTTATGTCCTCCAACCCCATACATTTTTTAATAGAATTGATCCAGAATGGTCACAGGTGGTGAAAGCAAATAGATCTTCATTGCTGCTAATTTGTGTGCCAAAACTTAGTTTAGGATTTGGAGGATGGATACCAAAGAATGGCAACAAACCTGTTAGCAAATATTTATTCAGAAATTTGACCCTGAGTATATTCACGGTTCCGGGGATCCTCCTGCCTCCCTCCTCCTCCTCCCTTCTGGGTGAGCCCAAATGGCAAGGACATCAGTTCATGGAATGAACCTTTTCCTTCCTCCCCCCATCCACAGTGCAAGCCCACAATGGGGAATACACATTGAGATGAACGTGCTAGTTCCTGCTGTTTCCTAGAAGAGACTATTAGGGGCAGAATCCTTGGGTGTGTAACTGATTTGGGTCTTGCCAATTTCAGGCAGCCTTGCAGGGGGCCTGAGGGTTCTAAAAGCTAATTAAGTCACAGAGCAGAACTTACTAACTTTGTGAAAAAGCTGTTCACAAGGGGGTGGGGAAATGGCTTAACCACAGGAGAGTACTGTACATATATGAGATAAATGCAAAAGTTTCATAAATATTGTACAATGAGAGACTGGAATTTCCAAATTCCAGAAATCAACTAAATGAAATCCAAGCAAGAGAAGACCTTGAGTGGAAACCCAATTAGCTTCTGCTTTTATACAAGAATTGTACACTGTCTATTGTGTAAAGTATCCCTTCACTGATCTGAATCCATGATTTATTTTCCCAGCAAAATGTCTACTCTGGATATGGTTCTTCTGGGCAGTATGGTGCCTCAGGCTCTTATTCCTCAACAGCCCAACAGCCACCAGTTCCTGGGCAGCACCAAGGAAGCATGAGTCAGGTAATAAATTTCACTTTATTTAAATGCTGCTTTTCTTCTATTTTAAGAAATAGAAGAAATCCCCTATTTACAGTGGGGATATATTGTAAATACACAGATCCAATCACAAAAGGTTCAAAATTCATCTGAGAAATTCTTTTTTTTAAAAAAAACAAATTTTATTAGTTTTTACAAAACAATACACAAACAAACAAAGCATAGAATATAATAACATAAAGGATCTTTTCTGATTTTCTTATTTAGAAACAGAATAATTCCAAATTATCACATTTCCATACAAACACAATTTAATATATATATTTACATTATTTGTTCAACTTCATATCTTATCCCAGCTTCTCTTTATTTCTCCCTTTCATTCTATTATTCAAATTATATTTCTTGCTAATAAATTTTTTATTGCTTTTCAAGGACAATACACAAACAAACAAAACATAAAACATCTTTTCTGAAAGTTGCTTGATCCCGGGTTAAAACTCTTCGTACAGACACAAATTCAAAAATCATATTCATTTTATATACCATTCCATATCTTATTACCATTTTCAATTTTCTATATAGCTTCTTCCCTCTTTTAACTTCCTTAGTTTTATTTTATTTATCTCATCTCAGTTCAAATCATAATACTTATCATTCTTTGTCTGTTCTATTTCCAGCTATCCATTCATCTTTTCTCTTTGAACAAAACTTCTCCTGTAGACTGATTGGAGTATGACGCCTTTAACTCTTTCCCCTAACATAATAATACTTAATATAACACATAACTTGTATTGGGATTCTGTTTAGTACATTCTGAAATTACACAATGTATTTTATAAGAAAGAAAAACAACAACAACAAAGGAACAAATTTATAGGTATATAATGTAGCTAAGACCACTATCAATGGCCATTAAAAAATTAATCATACATATTAATAGTCATTTATATCTTAAGCATTTTAATCTAAATACACATATAAAATCACAATCTTATGTACCTTGCAGAATCCCTTTTTCAATTAAATTTACCCATTGTCTCTAAATGAATTTTGTTTCTTTAAATCTTGCTTCCCACCATTGAGGCTTCTCATCCCTTCCTTTCTCCCTTGCTTATTCTTCTCCTTGCCCTTTTTACCCCTTTGTCTCTCCACCTCCCTTTTCTTCTGCTTTCCCCCTTTCTGTGGTTTTCTAACTTTGTATCCACCTTTCACCTCATTTTTCTCTTTTTTGGTTGTTTTTTCAAGTCTTAAAGTCCCCTTTTTCTTTTCCTCTTTCTCCTCCTCCCCAAATAGAATCACTTGTTCATCAAAGATGGCTTCTTCTTTATCCCAATCGTCCTGTTGCGCAGTCAATTTTTCATAAGTACATACCGCCATTTCTAGAAATTAAAAAAGAGTGCCCAAAGTATCTTTCCCTTCTTGTTCTTCTTTTTTGTATTTTTGATATTCAATTTTTAATTCATCCACAAGCGATGCCATTGTAAAGAGAAATTTTTTTTCCAAAACAACCACCCAAGTGCTTTTAATCAAGAATAATTCCCAAGGGTTCCAAAGTCACCAAACAATCCAAATAAGCTATTTCTTTTAATACCTTTTTCTTTCTTCCATTTCTCTTTCTGAGGTTGCTGTTTAATCACAAAGTTCCAATTAAGATATATCTTTTTGAAGTCTTTTTTTTTTTGAAACAAATTTTATTAATTTTAAAGACAAACAAAACATCATTAAACATTGAAAACATAAAACCTCTTTCCACTGTAAATCTTTACAGGGCAGATAAAACATTATTTTATACCGCATAATTCTAATTTATCCCATTTCCATATGGACACATAGATATCTTTTAACACATTTCTCATTATTTCTCTTTACTCTTATTCAATTACATTTCTTTTCTATATTTATCTATTTTATAGTCATCATATTTATATTTCCCTCTGACTTGTTTACAATTATTCTCATCTGACATTCCTCCAAGGTTTTATTAATTCTCAATCAAACATAAACACACAAAACACAAAAACATAAAACTTCTTTTTAGAAAGTGGTTTGGCCCCAGATTACCTCTCTTTATACGGACTTCAATTAAATTCATGCTCATCTTATATACCATTACCTATCTTATTTACCATTCTATATCTTCTATATAACTTCTCCCCGCTTTTCACTCTTCTTAATTCTATTTTATTTATTTCATCTTACTTTAAATCATTATACTTGTATCTTTTGTCCATTCTTTTCCAATTAACCATTTATCTCATTCTCTATAATAAAAAAATGGTTTCTCCTGAAATCACTAATCGAAGTATGATGCCTTTCTATCTTTCCCCTAGGTTGACATTTAAAATAACACCTAAATCCCAGTCTGATTCTGCTTAGTACATTCTACCTACTAAATTTTAAGAAAAAGAGAGAATAATAAATCTATAAAATAATTAAATACATAATTAAATGTATTTAAGTCTATCATTAAATCTTAAACATTTTAATATCTTAATTTATTAAATCTTGTAACATTCCAATTGTCTATTTCAAAAACAGATGCTGCAATAATGAGTTTATAATAACATCAATAGCCAATTAAACTCTATAATTAAACTAAATATTTTAAACATTCCCTTTAATATTTTATTAAATCTTAAAAACTATCATTATTAAGCATTTTAATCTTTTAATCTTTTATTAGATCTTATAAAATTCTAATTTTCTATTTCTACTACAAATACTACAATACTATCATATGTACTTTGCAGAATCTTTTGTTTTTTAAATTATACATTACCCTTTATCCCTAAAATTTTTTTTGCTTTTTCCCATCTTGTTTCATACCTTTGTGGCTTTTTCCCCCCTTTTCCCTTCCTTTCTTATCCCACCTAGCCTTTTTACCGCCCCCCAACCTCCGCCTTTTTAGCTTCCCCTCTCTGTTGTATTCCTCTTTTCTTTTGCTTTCTAACATTGTATTGATTTTGCATCTTATTTTTCTCTTTCTTTGGTGTTTTTTTAGGTCTTAAGTCCTTCATTTTCCTTCCTCTCTTTCTCTTTTCTTTCTTAATCAAACTTTTCGATTCAGTAAAGTCTTCTTCTTCTTCTTCTTCTTCTTCTTCTTCTTCTTCTTCTTCTTCTTCTTCTTCTTCTTCTTCTTCTTCTTCCTCTTCCTCCTCCTCCTCCTCCTCCTCCTCCTCCTCCTCCTCCATCTGTTGTTGTTTTTGCTGGTAAATAGCAAGTGCCATTTCTAAAAAGCGAAAGGCTTCTCCCAAAGCGTCCTTGCCTTCTTTCTTTATTTTTCCATAATCCTTTCTTAGTTCATCAACAGGTAAAGCCATTATAAACCTTTTCTTCTTTTTCTTTTTCCTCTCCTTCTTGTTAAAACAGCCAAGATGTTTCAAAACTTAAAACAGTTCCCCAAAGTCCCAGAGTCATCAAGCAGTCCAAACAGAGCACAAAAATCTTCCCTTTGCGATTTCTCTTCCTGGGGTAATATCAATTTTTAAAAAAGAAAAAACCCAGTCTGTATTTTAAAGCCTTATTGCAATTAACTTCTAGTCTCAAAATCTTCAAGGCATCTCCTCCAGCAACATCTTAATATAATTTTTTTTTTAATCCTCTCCCTTCCCACTTGTAACAAAGAGCTTTAAGTTTTTACCTTCTATAGAAAAGCAGGTTTTTCAATGTCCATTTGTTAACTCCATAAGGGAGGGAGAGTAAACTTTCCCTTTCAGTACTTCCATTCGCTGCTTTAAAAGTCTCCTCTGGAAACAATGTATCGTTCAAAAAATCGTAGTTTTCAGGATGTTAAGTGTATCTTAAATGTCCTGGTTCAGCCAAAGAACTTTCACTTTAAAACTTTCTCCTCCTTCCTCCTGCACAGTCTTGTCCAGCTGCCAGATTCTTTGTGGCGGCCATTACAGAACGCTGCTCCACCGCCTTAAGAAAAGGGGGTTTTGCCGGCTGGGGAGGGGGTCTGCGATACCCCCAAACCCCTATCCAGATCCCCCCTGTCTTCGGCTGCCTCTACGGGGCAGCCTTGTCCTCCAGACCCGTCGGGATCGGAGGCACCAAGACGGCTAGCGCAGCAGGGATCGCGCAGAGTCGCGAATCCCTGCCACCGCCGAAGCCTGGCAAACCGGAAGTCATGTTTTTGAAGTCTTATTAATGTTCAATAGCTCTTTAAAATTCTAGGCAGTCTCCTCCTTGTTTTCAAATTCTACTCCAATTTTTTTTCCTCTCCCTTCCCACTTACAGCAAAAAAGATTTTTCTTTCAATATTCAGAAATCCATATCCCTTTAGCATTAGCATTTAGCCTTTAGCATTTAACATACCTCCAATGCGGGTTTTCCGATTTCTCATAAAGTTCTATCGCTGTCACGTTTGGAAGGAGAGTGAAAAGAAAAAAAGTTTTTCCTTTAACTTCCATTCGCCGCTTAGCACAGTCTGGAAATGATGTATCTTTAGTAAGTTTTAAGTTCCAGGGTACTTTCACTGTTCCTTTGTCCTGGTCAGCAAAGATCACTTTCATTTCTTCACAGCTCCTCCTGCACTTTCTTTTTCCGGCTGAGCTCTTCTATGTGGCGGCCATTGCTGACTGCCGCTCAGCTGCCTTTGGAAAAGGGGGTTTAGCCGGCTAGGGAAGAGAGGCGCGATATCTCTCGACCCTGCCAGAGCCCCCCTGTCTTCGCCACCTTCTACGGAGGTGGCTTAGCCCCGAAGCCGGATGGCTCGGGGCACTCGGGCAGTGAACACAGGCAGAAACCGCGTACAGTCGCGTAAATTCATCTGAGAAATTCTGAGTACTATATTATTAAGAAGAGATGGCCTAGCAGTGAGAGGATTTGATTTTTCTGATACTTTCCTAAAGGTTTCTGGCTGTCATCTCAGTGTGATATGCTGATGAGCAAATTTTCTGGTTGGTAATGCCACCTTGCTGCATGCAGTTGATAAGCACAGACAGTTGTATACTGTACAATGTGGGGGTATAATTTGCCTTTTCCCTTTCTCAAATCTGTTGCTTCAGCAGCATCTGATAATGGTGCAGTAGTTAATGAAGTCTAAGGAAAGATAACGATGATATAAAAATAAGCTTGTGAATCCAGAAGCTAAACAAAGCAATGCAATAGGAATAGCACTTACATACATATCACCTCAATAGTGCTTTATAGCACTCTCTGGGCAATTTAAAATGTCACCATGTTGCCTGCAGCAATCATTTTACTGACCTCAGAAAGATGGAAAGCTGAATCAACCTTGAGCCCATCAGGATCAAACTCCAGACTGTGAGCAGAATTAGCCTACAATATTGCATTCTAATCCTGTGTCATCAGTGGTTTCTAATTTCTTATTTCTCTGATGACAGTGAGCAAGCACTTTGGAATAATGAAAGATGAGGAACAGTTTGGTCAAGAGCAGGAGTGTCCAACTCACATCATCACGGTGGCATCATGTCAGGACTTTTCTCCTCTTTGCTAAACCTGGTGCAGACGTGGCCAGCCCATGACACATCCAGCCCATGGGCTGGGAGTTTGACACCCCTAATCGAGAGGTTAAAGTGCTGGCTAGGAAATCAGGAGTTGTGAGTTCTAGTCCAACCTCAGGCACGAAAGCTGACTAAGTGACCTTAGGCCTCTCTCTCAGCACAATCTACCTCGCAGAGTGGTGGTTATGAAGAAAATAGGTGGTTTGCTATCTTGAGTTGTTTATAAAAATAATAAAAGCAGGACTTTAAAAAATCTTGGGTTTTGGAGGAAGAAGTAAATAAACAAGTGGAACAGTTTGTGGTCCTTGGGGCATTGTACTGTATTTCTGTTGGCACCAGCTATTGTATTTGATAGTCACAGAAAATGTGGGCTTTAGTATAACAGTATGGAAAAAATGGAAGTTGTCCATTTATATCAGCTTACACAAGAGAGAGAAAGAGAGAAGGGTTGAATCAACCCCCAACTCCATTGTAAGTTCTCTGTTTTTAACTGTTTATAAAAATGGGACTGGCAGGGGTAATAATGGCACAAATCTCCTTTCTCTAGCCTCCAGTCCCAGGCATGGAAGATGGAGGGATGTCGTATTCAAGCCAGCCTCAGCAAATGCAAATCTCTAACCCACCACAGTCCCCTATGCAGCATCCCAACCACCCTTCACAGCATAGCAACCTACCCATGGGCTCCGGGGGACAGCAGCAGCAGGGTGGTCCTCCTGGAGGGTTGCACTCTCAGTCAAACCAATCAAGTGCCTCCTATAACCAGCAGCAGCACTCTTACCAGGAAGCAGCCAAGCCCAAGAAAGGACAGCAGCTGTGGAATCGCATGAAACGTGAGATTCTGGGAGTAGAGGTGGAGGGGCTTGAATAAGCCTTCAGGAAAGGAAGGCAAAGCATTTCCAGGGACTTCGTTACTGGGAAGGGGAGTTGGCGGTAACTGAAGGAAGCATTATTTCCAGCTTCTGGTGTATGTCATTCTCTTTGGCATAATTTAAAGCAGGGGTTGCCAAACTTTTGGACCTCAGGGACCACCAAACTCATAATTTTAAATCCTGGGGACCACTAATACAAATTTTGACTAATGGTGGTGTTGGTGGGAGAGAGGGAGGGGGGGATCTGATCTAACCCCCCCTCCCTCTCTCCCCCCCCCTCTCTCTCACACACACACACACATACACAGAGAGAGTCAGGGATGGGATTCAAATTTCTTAACCGGTTCTGTGGGCATGGCCTAATTTGTGGGCGTGGCTTGGTCATGTGACTGGCTGGGCATAGCTTGTATGTAAATATAAAAAATTATGTAAATATTGAATTTTTTTAATAAAAGCAACTTTTACCCCAAATCAGGCAAAGCAGGCAGGCAGATTGAGTTGTCGCAGAATCACAGATTCATTCAGAGATCTAGCTTTCTGCCATCGGCTACCTGAGTCTGTCACATAAAATTTGCTAGCAAGCAAACTCACAAAATTAACTCACAACACACCATATATGTAAATATTGAATTTTTTATAATAAAAATAGAACTTTTACTCCAAGTCAGGCAAAGCAGGCAGGCAGATTGAATTGCTAACAGAATCACAGATTCATTCAGAGATCTTATCTTTTTGCCATTGGCTACCTGAGTCTGCACTGAATAATAGAAGCTTCAGTCCTAAGGAAGGTTAAAAGTTTAAAAGCAGAGCCGAAAATCTAAAGATTAACGTGAAAGCAAGAAATCCAGTGGTTTCCTGCTTTCTAGCTAATCTAAATCTCCCGGCAAGTTTGCCAGGTAAGGAGTGAGTGGGCAGGGAGGGTTCCCACGGGCCATATAGGTGGTGCGGTGTTCCCGCACAGCCTGGATTAATTGCTTTGGGGGGTGCTCTGGGGGTGACATTTCCCTGGACCTCCACAATTTTCTTGCAGACCACCAGTGGGCTGCGGACCATTAGTTGGTGGCCACTGCTGTAAAGCTTTTGCTTTAATCAAGTAATTTCTGCTTTGAGATTTATTAGCATGTAGGGAGATCGAAAGAGAAAAGAAAATGCCTCTGAAATGCTTAGCTTCCTGCGTCATACTCAAAAAGGAGCTTTCATTCATTGTTGGATTGAGCCTATAGAAACAGTTACCAAGCCACTTGTAACAAATTTAGCTAAGCTGGCAAATGAGAATGTTCTCTAATATAGAATAAATAATATCCAACTTTTAAAGAGTTACTGGCAAAGATATCAAACCCTCTTTGATTCACATCAAGTTTCTATTATGGATTAAAAGAGGAATTGTTGGCATTGTGCGTACACAGTCCCCCCCTCATTACTGTTGGACAATGGTGCAAAAGTTTCTACTTTACTGGAACTTGGAAATTTTATTTGGGCTTTGGGAAACACCACCATGATTGGAGCTTCCCTGCTGCTGACATTTTAGTCCCCGGAGGATGTAGTTGATATCCTGCAAGCCACAAGTAGCCTTGAGCATCTTAACATACCTCAAAGATTGTGTAGCCAAATTCAAGCAGCAAAATGACTAGATTCTAGAATCATGATTTTGTTTTCATTGTTAGTTCAGCATTAAGAATGGAAATAGACAAAAGCTGATAAATAAATTGATAAAGGAGAATATAATGGTATAGGAGTTTGGTAGGAATTTATGCATTCCGGTGGGCAAGTGGAAAACCTTTCATTCACATTAGAAGCTCGGTGGATTCAGTCTATTATGTCTTTGTCTCAAAGAGTTTTGGCAAGAGTTATATATGGCTTAAAATGGAAATGGCACTTGATATCATCCTATAATGTTTATGAAAATGCACAAAATATTCTTGGTACTGTAATAAGGGCATTTCTTAAACGCATAAGGCTGCTTCCTCACATACGCTGTCTCAAATTTGGGAAGTATCAAAATCCGTTAAAATAATCCTTGGTGCCTCTGCTTCTCTTGAGGGGAAGATTTATGTGTAGATTTAGAGAGATAGGCTATTGAATTTGGAAAAAAAAAAATTAAAAAATATATCTCCTTTTTATTTTTATAAACAGAAGCGCCTGGGTCTGGTGGCCTAAAATTCAATCTTCCAAAACGTCCCTTTGTAGTAACAAATCAGAACTTCAGCTCTTTGGAGCAGCAGCAGCAACAACAACAGCAGCAGCAGCAGCAGCAGCAGCATCCAAATTTTGCCTCTCAGCAGAATTCAGAGAAACGTCACAATCACAGGTTTGCAACCTTCCTCTCTTTTCATTTGTTTATTTATATGCAGCCCAAATCATCCAGGTATCTCTAGGCAGTTTACATCATGGGGTTTAAGCAGTGATAAAACCAGGATAGAGGATCAAAATAGATAATAATTTGGTGTGTGAGCAAAATGTGGGAATGTCCTAAAAACTTCCTTCCGTTCTTGTTGTCTTTGAATAGAGAATTTACCATGCTTAGTAAAGTGAAAGAAATTCAGATGAGGGACTGAGCAAATCCCCCCCCCCCCGGGGGGGGGGGAATTTGCAATAATAATCCTAACAGGAAATAACCTCTTGCTGCTTTTCATCCTTAGACGTTTTAGAGTCTAAATAATATAAATATAATGTTAATAAAATATATTGGATTCCGTTCATTTGAAATTTGTTAAATTGTGCTAGGGATTGCTAACCTAAGAGCCATGCTTGGCCTCCTTCCGTATTAGAAATTGTTCCAGAAGTGGTGCAGGGAAGCCTCAAAATACTGGTGCTGTTTTTGGGATTATCATAGATGTTGGCTTGTAACTGTCCTTGAGTCCTCTTAGGTGGCTGATTTTGTGACATATTTTGGGTGAGGAGCAGAAATATATTTTAAATGACATGGTGGTGCTTCAAATATGATGAATATGCTATGGAAATTATATGTTCTTGTTGAGGGATCTTAGGAAATAGTCCCTTTTTCAGTATTTTATGGAGTGTAAGGGTCTTATTTGATACCACCAGTTGATCCATCAGGTAATTCTCAACACATGACCATAGTAGACCCCAGAATTTCCATCATAAGTCATAGTGGTTGTAAGTTGGAGCATCCACACGACTGACACAATTTTACTACCTTTTATGCAGTCGTTATAAAGTGAACGTAGTGCTGAAAAATGCATTCTCTGTGAACGTAGTGCTGGAAATGACTTTTTAAACCATGGTCACCTTGTATCCTGTAACTGGCCATAAGAGTGAGCCGGTTGCCAAACACTCAGAATATGGAGATGTGGCCACAGTGGGTGCTGCTGTCAGAATTCCATATTTGGGCATCTGTAGTAATTTTGAACAGTCACTAAGCAACTAGTTAAGTGAAGAGTACAGATATGGAATAAAGCCATATGTGTTTCAATGAGGATGTTTGAAAAATTGTAAAAGAGCATTCTCAACGTCCAGGGGAATTGTGTGATAACGTGGCATGTCTCTCTCTCATTAGATAGGTTATGATGCACTGAGAGGGAAAGAGTAATGTCAAGAGGAGAGAAGGAGCTAAATCAGTTCTAAATCAGCGCTGCCAGGTCTGTTAGGCCCACATATTTGGATGCTAAGGGTTAAGGTTCATGGCTGTTGGGTTTGTTGGTTAAGGAATACAGGGAGTCCTTGACCTACAACCATTAGTTTAGTGATGTTCAATGTTACAAGCAGCACTGAAAAAAGTGACTTATGAATGGTTTTCACACTTCTGACCCTTGCAGCATCTCCTACAGTCACGTGATCAAAAGTCAGCCACTTGGGCCGTACCCTATAATGGTTGTAGGGTCCCAGGGGTCATGTGATTACATTTTCTGACTTTCTGACCAGCAAAGTCAATGGGGAAGCCAGATTCACTTAACAAGCGTGTTTCAAACTTAACAACTGCAGTGATTCACTTAACAACTGTGGCAATAAAGTTAGTAAAATTGAGCAAAAATCCCTTAACAACTGTCTCAGCAACAGAAATGTTGGGCTCAATTGTGATCCTAGGTCAAGGAGTATCTGTAGCAACTTGTAAGGCCGTAGAAGGGTTATTCAGATTGCTGGTTGAATCTCAGTCAATCTGCCTATGAATTGCTATATGACAATATGACCCAGGAACAATTGGGCCAATGAGACAAGCATGCAAGTGTTTAATTGTGGAGCATACTGTGTTTAAAAAATGAGGTGGAATGGAACAAGCTGCATCCTGAGATAGTTACGCTTCCAGTCATGGAAGTTTTGCAAACTGTTTAGCTAGTTTACAATTAATCTTAACCATTTCTAAAGCATGCATTGCAGTTAAATAAATGTATTGGTGGAGCCTTGCTATTTTAATGTTTTATTTTTCCTTATAGTTCTTCCACAGGTAAGCCTGAAGATTGGCCACAGGACATGAAAGAGTATGTTCAGCGCTGCTTCACAGCTTGTGAGTCGGAGGAGGACAAAGACCGCACTGAGAAGCTGCTTAAGGAGGTCCTACAGGCCAGGCTGCAGGATGGCACTGCCTATACCATTGACTGGAGCAGGGAACCATTGCCTGGGTACGTAGCTTTGGGAGCAGAGGCTGAGACAGAGGGCATTTGATCTTTTTATTAGTGCATAAATTAAGCCAAATTGGCTTAGCGCTTTGTGTGTATTTCTCTCCTGATAGTATTATTTTAAGGCAAGAGGCAAAGAAGATAGTGATCAAATAGAGAGCGGTGAACATAGTCACTGACTGGAGATTTGAATAAAGGTAGTCCTCAACTTATGACCATAATTGAGCTCTGAATTATGGTCATAAGTTGTACCAGTCATTACGTGGGTCAAGATGTGACTGTGTCTATTTTATTATCTTTATTACAGCAAGTCCATTGTTCAAAATGGGCATTTTTTTGCCAGAAACAAACATTGGTTTTCAGCAAAAAACAAAACAAAACATGATAACATGTATTCATATGACTGCGGGACCCTGGAGATGGCAAAAAATGGGCAGATTGCTGGATGCCCAAAATGTGATCACGTGATCGCAAGAGCATCCTGATTGTCAGAACTTTGAATCTGGATCATAAGTAGCTCTGAGGAGGTCTGTCATAATTTCAGACATTCACTAAGTGACCAGTTATAAGTCAGTGTTTAAGAAGGGGAAAATGCTTAGAAGACCCAAGATTTCTGTTCTTTTTTTAAGGATATATTTTCCTTAAGAGGCAAATGAGGCTGGTAGACTTGATTGCATCTGGTGGAATTAACGTATCACATGTTGAGCTTTTTTAGCTGGTGTGCATGTTTTAGAGTTTAGAGTGCATATAATGGATGCTTTAGTTGCCCTGGTGAGTAGCTTGCTCATTCATAAAACCATTTCTTAAGATTCAGCAGATCTGTTATTCTTTCTGTAGCTTGGGCCGGGACAACTTGGCTGAAAGCCCCAAGAAAAAACAGCAGCGCTGGGAAGTGTCTTCCGTCCACTCGCCACGTGCCTCTATGCAGTCAAGTCTTGCTCAACAGCAGCAGAGGAGTGGTGGTAGCAATTCTCAGCCCCAGCGAGGGGGAGGTAGCGGAGGAGCTGGGACTGGTCGGACTCGTGGGAATGCTTTCCCCACCAAATTTGGAAACCGCAATGTTTTCATGAAGGAAAATAGCTCATCTTCAAGTGTTGATTCACGTTCTAGGTCAAGGTCGTCATCCCGATCTCCCAGTCGCCACTTCCGAAGAAGGTAAATAACGGAGGTCAAAAGAATAGAATATATTTATAGGGCAATCATCTTGGACCTTGCAGTTCCATTGGTTCTGTGTTGGAACTACCACTTCATTCCTTGCACGTGTGTGCACAGCTATGGAGATTATAACTGCACCTAATGAATGAAGGCAAATATATGTGTCCCAGAATAATTTGCAGGATCCAATCTGAGTTGGTCACCAGGATCACAGATGTAAGTCTTCCAAGCTTTCGGACTTGTGCTGGAGCTCATCCTTGGGGAACTTACTAAACCCCCTGGTCCTGGTGATTGACTCAGGTTAGATCCTGCAAGGCTTTACCTGTTTGTTGTGGCCATGCCTATTACGCTAGAGCTAGAATCTTGTGGGGGGTGGGGGTGGCGGTTAAAGAAAAAAGCTACAAACCAAGGCTACAGATAGTCCTCGACTTACGACCACAGTGGAGCCTAAAATTTATTACTAAGTGAGACATTAAATGGGTTTTGTGCCCTTTTACGACTTTTCTTGGCACATTTGTTAAGTGAATCATTGCAGTTAAATTAGGAACAGTTGTTAAGAAAATCTGGTTTCCCCATTGACTTTGCTTGCCAGAAAGTTGCAAAAGGAGATCTCATGACTCTGGGACAATGCAGCTGTCATAAATAGGAGTCAGTTGCCAAATGTCTGAATTTTGATCGTGTGACCATGGGGATGCTGCAACAGTCGTAAGTGTGAAAAGGTAACTTCAAACGGTCACTAAATGAACTATTGTTAAGTTGAGGACTATCTGTAATGGGAACTTATTACTTTATAGCACCAATAATACTGTTCATTTATTGAGGTTTTTTGGGTGGGCTGACTACACCGCCAGGCCTTGAGTTTAACATAACAGCCAAAGGTAATTCTTTTTTCATCTTTATACAGTGATTCAGATTCAGACAGCTCCTATTCTGGAAATGAGTGTCGCCTAGGTGGCCGCCGGAATGCTCAGAAAAACCGAGGGCGTGGAGGCCACATAGATAGAGGGCGGATGAGATCACAGCGAGGAAAAAGGCAAGTTGCATGGGAGAGGGCCCTTGGTGTGATTTGGAAATAGAACCTGTAAGAGTGATTGTAAGAAATTTTTAGTCTTTGGCCTACAGAGGAACGGAATCATGCAAGCAGCCATGCTGTATCCAGAACTGTTACACAGAAAATCCTCAACGCATGCCAGTCCTACTATGCAAGATCCTTTGGGAATTTGGATAATTCAAGTATGAGGCCCAGCCCAGATTTAAGATAGTTTTATTAAAGAGATTGTCCTACCGACACATGATTACTTGTATAGCAGATGTGGCTTTTGCTTGAGATATCATAGAATTTTTCAGAAGTTTCAGTTTTGGGCCTACATTCATACATACTGAGGAGCTGTGGTGGCTGAGTGGTAAGAATGCAGTATTGGAGGCTGACTCTGCCCACAGACAGAGTTCGATCCTGATTGGCACAAGGTTGCTTCAGCCTTTCATTCTTCAGAGGTTGGTAAAATGGGGACCCAGATTGTTGGGGGCAATATGCTGACTCTGTAAACCACTCTGCAAGGCACTGTGGAAAGGTACCATATTTAAGTCTATTGCTATACATGAAAATAAAATGTAGCCTTAAAAAGTCTTTTCTGATTTTGATTAGCTTAGCTGTCTTGGGATTTCTCCAGCTTCTCTATACATTTCTGGTCTCATTTTTTTAGGTTGCAGATAATAAATCATTTTGTTAGAGACCTCATAGGTTCTCCTTACCTTCTTGGCATCAGTTATAATTTTCAGTTTTCCAGTTCATTGTATTTCTTGACAGGGTTCCTTTGCTTATAGCTTTTTGACTCTAGCTCTGCTCATTCTTCTACATCCTATGGCATTTTCCCACATCCACTCATACTCTGAAGTGCTTATGTTGTATTAAATTGTAATTAGTGAACAGAGATATTACAGCAGTAATAATCATGAAGATCTATGATTACAGTAATTAGTATAAAAAAAAGTTCGCACAAGCACTCGTAAGTGTTTCATGGAAGATTTCGTAAGGGTCTTAGCAGCCCATCCAGTTCATCCCTCTATCCCTCTAGACATGACCAAGGTCCTCCTCCCAAGCGCAATCGGAAACGCAACACTATGGATTATGAAGACCCGGAAAAGGAGTTCAAGAAGGAACGGAGGGCAGCACGCTTCCAGCATGGAACTCATCCCAAAAAGCTGCGTCTGGAACCTCTTATCTTACAGATCAATGCTCTGGACACTGTGGGCTCTGATGGCCTTGACTGGAATGAGCTGAAGATTGTGGGCACCTGCCAAGATATCACAAAGCATTACCTGCGCCTCACCTGTGCTCCAGACCCCTCCACTGTCCGGCCTCTCTCAGTGAGTAACCACCAAGGGGAAAGCAAAAAAGAGCCTGCCTAGTATAGTCCTCGACTTACAACCACAGTTGATACCAAAATTTATGTTCCTAAGTGAGAAATTTGTTGAGTGAGTTTTGCCCCATTTTATGACTTGACTTGCCATATTTGTGAAATCATTGCAGTTGTTAAATTAACAACACCATTGTTAAGTGAATCTGGTCTTCTCCATGGACTTTGCTTGTCAGAAGGTCACAAAAGGGGATCACATGACCCCGGGACCCTACGACAGTCATTCATAAATATGAACCAATTGCCAAGTATCTGAATGTAAATCACATACCCATGAGGATGCAGCTATGGTCATAAGTGTGAAAAGTGGTCATCAGTTACCTTTTTCAGTACCATGGCAACTTTGGACATCACTAAACCAATTGTTGTAAGTCGAGGACTACATGTTTTTGCTTCTATTTTGTTTTCTGTTTCGATCTGTCCTTTCTTCCAGGGGTTCCTAATCCCCAGGCTGTGGCGCAGCACCAAGCCAGGGGCTGTTTGGAGCTAGGCCGCACAAGTGGCGGGTGAGTGTGCATGCACGCAGTTCCACTTGTGTGATCAGCAGGCAAGAGCACATGCGTGTGAAGTTCCATTTGTGGGAGCGGTGGGCCCAGGCCCCTGCCGCTTGCATAAATGGAGTTGTGCACATTCACTCACTGCTTGCGCAAAATCATCCCTTCTCTTCCCCTGCCACCACTGGTCCAGAAAGGGGGATTGCTTCCCACCTTGGACTAGCTGAATTGCAGACTGGCTTTTTTTTTATTAGTAGGCAGGAAATGAAAAACTGGGTGTGTGCTTTGGGGGTGGGGTTCGGGTGGAGAACTGTTTAATATAAATTCTGTTAGTCATGTTGAATATTCCTTGGACAGAAAGTGCAGGCCAATCCAGGAAGTCAATTATGCCATCCTGCAATCTTCGCAGTAGTAATCATTCCTCCATCAACAGTTCCTGTCTGTTTGTACAAAATATTTTGTTTGTCCTTTTTTTGAAGGCTCTGTTTCCTGGACTATGTCCAGTTTTATTCCAGAACTGGTTCAGAAGTTGTTTAATGTTTGTCAGATATCTTTAAACTGCTTTCCTCTTTTTTCCCCAGGTACTTAAAAAATCTTTATCTGCAGTAAAATCCCACTGGAAAGAAAAGCAAGATTATGCTTATGCTTGCGAGCAGATGAAATCAATCCGCCAGGACCTTACAGTAAGCCAATTCAGGCCTTGGTGGGGGGCAGAAAGTCATGGCTCAATTCATAATTTGTATACTAAGCTATATTTTTAACCATGATTAGATTTAACCATGTTAAGTCACATGTGGCCACTTCATGCTGATACTTAGACTAAAATATACCTTAATATATTTGCTAGTTGTCATTTTGTAGGTGGAGAAGTTAGAAGAACTTCAGTTACTTTAGAATAAGAATTTGGGTTTTTAAGTATGTTAGACTGATCCCTGGTTCTTTACCTGGTAGCTAGTTTAGTTAAATGTAGCCCATTGTCAATAGATGATCATCAATATGACCTTAGTGGGGCAGTAACTTAAAACTTACTCTGTTCACCTATATTCCATTGCCAGTTGTTGCCTTCTGTTGCAAAGGGTTAAAAACAAGTAGATTTTAGAAATAGGAATTGGAATCTCCCCTGGGAATAAAAGATATTCACAGTCCACCCTTAATGTACACCTGTTTTGGGACCATTGAAGGGATTTCAGATAATCCTCAAGTTACAATTGTGATGGAACCCTGCCCATTAGAGTCCTATGTCGTGATGGTTGTAAAGTGGGTCACCCATGTGATAGGCTCAATTTTATAATTCATAGTGGTAGTCATTAAGTGAATCTCTATAGTGGTAGGCATTAAGTGAATGTCTATTCCAACCCCTTTCTTCTGCTGTATATAGAAATTTCAATTCACCCAAGCTAATATATGAATTATTGGCAATCTCTCCCTTGGCTCTGTCTAGGTTCAAGGAATCCGTGCAGAATTCACTGTGGAAGTATATGAAACTCATGCCAGAATAGCTCTGGAGAAGGTAAGACTCAGTATAATCTACTAATAAGTTAATGCTCCGTGGATCCAGGTTTAACTCCATTTTTATCAATCGCTATCTTTCCCCTATTTGGCTTCTTCTTAACATAAATATTAGATATCTGTGCACTTTGAAAGAAAGAATGTAGTGGCAATCAAAATGTTATCATTTGAACCATTTTGAAATTGAAATAACCTGTTTTGAGTTTGAAATGATTTAACTCCACTAATAGTGGATAAATGTATTGAAACAGTCATCTTATAGCATGTGATACTCCCACAAAGTGTAAATCTGATTTAGGAGAAGTCATTTCCCTCTTTATTTCTTAGTTGTAGAAGGAAATTATCGGGGGGGGGGGGGAAATAGGCTTTTAATTTTGAAAATAGGCTTTTAATTTTCTGCATAGATTCCAAAACAGAAAAATGACTAGAGAGATGACTTGGAAGTCCTATTCAAGAACTTTATCTTCCTACCTTTCCTTTTTTTTAACCATGTACACCTTCCTACCCCCAAAATATTTGGGCAGTTTATGTTCTTTAAGGATTGTAAAAAACAATTCATTTTATTTTATGATGTATGTGTTCCTCTTGGATCAAGCCAGTATACGTATAGTGTAATATAGTGTAAGATAAACTTGGCATAAAGATTGCAGCCCCTTCTATATTTGGCAGAGCATAAAATGTACATTTGTCTTTTTATGTTTTACTCATAACTACATGGCAATACAAGAGCATGTATTTGTCAGGCTCAGATTTTGATTGTTGATTATGTACAGATAATCCTTGACTTACAACCACAATTGAGCCCAAAATTTCTCTTGCTAGGTGAGACATTTAAGTGAATTTTGCCCCATTTTATGACTTTTTTGCCACAGTTATTAAGTAATTCATTACAATTGTTAAGTTAGTGATACAGTTCTTAAGTGAATCTGACTTCCTCGTGTCAGAAAGTCACAAAATGTGATCACATGATCCCAGGTCACTGCAACTGTCACAAATATGAGTCAGTTGTCAAGCCTCTGAATTTTTTATCATGCGAGTATGAGAATGCCACAACAATTGTAACTGTAAAAAAATGGCTGTGTCATTTTTTGTAGTGCCATTGTAACTTTGAATGGTCATTAACTGAACTGTTGTAAGTTGAGGACTACCTGTACCATCAGCTCTTAGTTGACCACAGAGATAGATTTTCTCCTTTTGTGATCCATTCCCAACCTGGTCCTTCAGTTCCTGCACTGGTGTATTTATCACTGCTATCTGTAAGGTCTTGCCTCTCCTAATCCCCTCAAAAAAGCAGAACTCTTGAAACAAGGAGCATTTCAAAAGGATTTTTATTGAGAGATAGTAATAGCAAGGAGACTAAAGGTAAAGGTCCCCCTCGCACATATGTGCTAGTCGTTTCCGGCTCTAGGGGGCGGTGCTCATCTCTGTTTCAAAGCTGAAGAGCCAGCACTGTCCGAAGACATCTCTTTGGTCATGTGGCTGGTGTGACTAAATGCCAAAGGCTCACGGAACACTGTTAACCTTTCCCACCAAAATGGTCCCTATTTTTCTACTTGCATTTTTACATGCTTTCAAACTGCTAGGTTGGCAGAAGCTGGGACAAGTAACATGAGCTAGGGATTCGAACCACCGAACTGCCAACCTTTCTGATTGACAAGCTCAGCATCTTAGCCACTGAGCCACCCCATCCCTTGAGCAAGGAGACTAGGGAGGATCTAAAATTCCCACTGGGAAACATTAGGTTAAAAGTTGTAGAAACACCCCCCTCTGTCCAGTTCCAGACGAGCCAATCCACAGATGTGAAGTTGTTGTGAGAACTTCGAGCTGAGAAGACAATAAATGGTTCTCAGATAAGTGGTTCTCAGGCATCCGGTACTCCTCTCTCTGGATCCGAGACAAAATAGATGGCGCCAGGCTCATTCCTCTTCTCCCCCTCCCTTTCTCAGGAAGGTACATCAAAGTAAAGACCAGAACTGGGAAAGATCATAAAATTTCACTGGAGGGGGGAAGCGCTCCCACCAGGATGGCAGCATTCTGGTAGGGATCTATGTGCACCTGACGCTATCATTTGAGTCCTGGCTGCTGATCCTCCTCCTTTTTCTTGATACCTTTCCTAGTTTTAACAGACTTTTCCAAAAAGCTCGGACTTGTTCAGCTTGCTGTCGTACTCTAGCAAAGGTTCTGATATGTGAAACCTTAAATATTTTCCATAATGATAGTTTATCTTTTCCAGGGTGATCATGAGGAGTTCAACCAGTGCCAGACACAGTTGAAGTCTCTTTACGCAGAGAATCTTCCAGGAAATGTTGGAGAATTCACTGCTTACCGTATTCTTTATTACATTTTTACCAAGAACTCTGGAGGTGCGTGTGGGGATGTTGGGAGGGAGACTTTTGAGGCTAGTCTTTGAATTTACTTCAACATTTGAGAATCCTTATGTTGTGTAGAATTTCTGACAAACAGTCTAAATAAGCCTTTTGGCCATGTTGTGATCTTTGCCTGTTTAACCCAAGCGATGTAGTTCCCAGACTCTATATCTCTTCCTCAAAACATTTTTTCCAATAATAGCTAATGTCAGTCATTTTAGGAGACTTAAAATTCTAGAGAAGCTTTTGGGGAAGATAATTTTAAATACTAAAGTGGATTTAATAGAGCAGATCAAACCCAATCAGGTGTAAGTCTTAAAGCAACAAAGAATGAATATTTTAACCTGAGTCAGTTCATGGTGAAAGTACTGGTCATCCTTGAGTAACAGCCCCAATTGAAATTGGAAAATTATTTGTTAAGCCAGATATCACATGATCTCAATTTGCAAACTTCCCTGCTGGCTTCTCCATTTATTTTTCTTAATGGAAGCTGGCTGGTAAGATTGCAAATGATGATCATGTGACCCTGGAACTGCAACTGTTACAAAGATAGCCAGTTGGAAATTTGCTTTTTTCCAGTAGTGTCGTAATGTTGAATAATTGCTAAATGAGTGGTCATACGTTGGAGAATGCCTGTAAGTGAGAAACAGGTTAATTTGTGAAATTTTGGGGGTGACTTGCCTTTCTCTCTCCTGCAGATATCACAACTGAGCTGGCCTACCTGACAAAGGAGTTGAAAACGGACCCTTGTGTGGCACATGCCCTTGCTTTGCGAGCTGCCTGGGCCCTCTCCAATTACCACCGTTTCTTCTGCCTGTATCGCCAGGCCCCTTGCATGTCCGGCTACCTCATTGACAAGTTTGCTGAACGAGAGAGGAAAACGGCCCTCAAAGCCATGATCAAAACGTATGTGGAGCTGAACCAGTCCTCAGGTTTAAATGGGGGGGGGGGGGAATGCCTCACACCTGCACACTTCCCTCCCATTCCACCTTTGTTGCAATGTCTAGCAAAGGGGCAGATTAGTGTCCAGTAGTAAGAAGTGGGTCAAATGGGGTACTCTTTTCAGCCACTTCAAGGAAGGTGTCTGCGCCCTGGGCAGGTAAGTACAGTGATTGCAGTCTAGTTAGGCAAGCATTCCAGATGTTTAATTATAAACTGGCTTGGCTGTCCTTCATGACCAGGTTGCTAGAACTTTGTTGATTCGCCTGGATAGAAAACAAATTCTTTTGCAGAAATATTTGACTCTGAAATGTGAATCTAGAAGTCATGTTCGTTTGAAAAATGGTTGTAGTTTTATTTGGGTACCTGACGGTTAAGTAGTTTAGGGGCTGAGCGAGAAACTGGGAGATTGTGGGTTCTAATCCTCCTTTAAGCACGGCAGGTGATTGGAAAGTCTCTCAAGTTTCCTCGCAGGATTATGCTTATGGGTAAAATAGGAGGCGGGAGCATTGCATACGCTGGCTTGAGTTTCAGAGATAAAGGTGAGATATAAATTAAGTAGTAAAATAAGCCATTAGACAAAGCAAAGCTAAACTGAAAATACGTGGTTGTGGGGAGAATCAGAGTAGACCTCAGATTGCCTTTGTGGCTTATGCTTTGTTCTTTCATTTTATGCTTTGAATGTTCATCTTGGTTCTCTCACAGTCTTAAGTTAAGAGCCAGTCTCTCCATTTCTGGCCTTTTCCATTCCCACATTATGGACAGATAAAATAGGGAGACAGAGACGCAAGGTGCTGTACTGATGCTTGGCCCTGCCGTAGAGATGGTCCAGCCCGCAACCTCCCCCGGTGGTTGGATCAAGGTAGCTTTGGTGCAGAAAGGAACTGTAGCCTAGGAGCAAGAAATCGCCAAGACATAGGAGCAAAATGTTTGGTGAATGATAAAATCTGTTATTTTGTATGCTTGTCTCTGGTAGTGAATAGCTAGTGACCCAGGGAGGCAGGAGGAATTGAGTGTGCTCTAAATAATAATTATAAGTGTTAGTTACTCACTTAGTATTCTTCTACACCCACTTTCCTGCTTCTTATTATTATTATTTTTTTAAATAGTCTTGGTCACCAAGAATGCCTTAGAAAATTATTCTGGTGCAGAGTATTTCTCTATTATGTGAGGCACAACTTTTATTTATTTTTTATAATGCTATCCCTATTTGTTGTGAAGAGACATCATTTCCCTTTTTTGAGCCCAAGTCTCCTGCTCTCCATAATGAGCGAGAGTCATGACTAACTCTTTGCAACCCTTTTTTTTTTTGGTTTGTTTGGCTAATCAGTCTTTTTTTTTTTTTTAAAGAGCACATCGCACTGATATGTTATTCTGGCAGCATGATGAGCAAACACACCGAGAAAATAAATCTTACCAAAATCTTTTTTGAAATGATCTCTACTAGAGTTTGCATGAGAAATATAACAGCTTCCATTCTCAAGCATCCCAGTCTGTTCATCTTGAGTCGTTCTAAGGAGTACTTTTTCTTTCTCCTCCCCTTCCTTTGATCCATGTTTCAGAACCATTCCATTAAAACGTAGAAGGCAGTTTAAACTCAACACCTGTCATTTTTGTGATAGTGGCAGTGGTGATGGTGGCGATACTCAAAGCCTCTGGGTAGTGCCATCTCTCCCCTTTCCAATATAAGGAAACCCCTGAACTCTACCAGAAGTCTGTCCGGTCCAGCACTTTCCCCTCAGTAACCAACCAATATCTGTAGCAAGTCCACAAGCAGCATATATTATATGCAGGTCCATCCCTCAATAAGTATGTCTTTGCTGCTGACATTCCGAGGTCAGTTGAAATACAGGAATGAAAAACTTGAAAGACAGGTTGACTTTGTTTCCACCTATTGCCAGGTTAACTAAAGGTAAAGAGCCACACATCAGCAGGATGTGCTGCTTGTCATAGTTTCTCATATGCTGCCCTTTCCCATTCACCAGTGTCTTTTTTTATCTCCCTCAGTTTCCGCCCGGTGCTTCCGGTCTCCTACGTTGTGTCAGAGCTGGCCTTCGAGAGCGAGGAGGAGTGCCAAGCTTTCCTTGCAGCTCTGTCCCTTGTGTACACTAGTCCCGACGCCACCAAGATTGACTGCAAGCAGAGCTTGGCGGTCCTGGCCAATTTCTGAAAGCAGAAAAAAAAAAAAGCCCACTGCCCTCTTCTAGCCTGTTTAACATGTACATATATAGAGAGATATATATGTCTGTGTTTGTGTGTGTATATATGTATATAAAATCAAATTAACAGTTGGCTACTGTGGGCAAGCTGGGACTTGCTCTGCCACTTCACCCGCTGTCCACAACGCACTTGGATAGAAGAGGGTAAGATCCACGGACATCAGATGGCATCTGAGATCACCGGAAGCAGAAGAGCAGAGAGTTCGGTCTAAGGAGTCTTGGGGGTTTGCCAGCAACAGGGAAAAGAGATTTCAGGGAAGAATAGTTTTGCACCATTTACAATCATCTGTTCCTCCCCCCGCCCCCTTCCTCTCATGTCAAGATCCATGAGTTGCTAGAGCCCCTGTCTCTCCCCGTAGTCTGAAGTTGCCAGGATAAAAAGTTGGAAATCTGTGGATTAATTATGGGAAATGATGGAAATTGCCACCTTGTGTGTTACCATTTCTTCATTGTCGTAAGGATTCAGGAAGCTAGAAGATCTCTCCCTGAGCCACAGAGCAAACCTTCTTAATTTATTTTTAATTATTATTATTATTATTATTATTTTTTGGTAAAAGTCTCACCAGGCGCTGTTTTATTCCACTTGACAGATCTGAAAAAGGCACCAGTACATAAGCGCATATGGCTAGATGTGAATATATGTGAAATATGGTTTTGTACAGAAGCTACAAGTTGTAAATAATACTAGGCAAATTCCTTGTTTCTTAAGAAAAAAAACCAACCCATGTTTTTCTACTTTTATAATGATGAATTTAACAGATGGTTTCCTCTGAAGATGAAAAGTTCAGGTTTTGCGTGCGCATTTTGTGTTCTTTATTATGCTCCTCAAAAACTAACACTGTCTCAGTTTTTTCCTCTTCCGAGCTATGGCCTGGCTATGAAAAAGCTTGAGAGATGATGCCACCTCTCCAGTCGAACACAAAAACAGCCCGAGGGGGAAAGAGCAAAGCAAAATTTGTCTTCACATATTTCCTACCAGTTCAAAGACTTTTTTCCTACTCAAAGGAGAAATGTGAGAGACTTCTTTGTTACAAAACCCCGCAAGGATGTGGCCACGACAAACAAAGCAAATCCAGAGAAGGCACGGTGCGCAGCTGTGAAATCAGACCAACAAACAAGATGATCTTCACAGTCTCCTCTTCTGTTGTGTTCTGGAGTTGTCATGCTAAGTTTTTTTAATTTGTTTTTTTCTCCCTCTGTCCTCAGTTCTTTACAGGTAAACTTGAAAATGCTCCACCCATTTTCATTTTTCTCTTGTCACATTGTTTCAGTTTTGTTTTTCAAGTTTTGAAAGATTGTCCAATAATTTTTTCTGTTTTCTTTCTCTCACTCTCTCCCCTACTCTTAGTCTCTTTAGCTTCTCATAATCACCTTTCTTCCCCTCTGTTCTCCTTTGCTCTAACACCTTTTTCTTTTTGTTTTTGAACATGTGTAATTTTGGGATATTTTGGCTTGGGCTGAATTTTTCAAAGGTTCCTTTTTCCTTTTCAGAAACCTGAATTTTCTTCCATTTGATTAAAGTCAGTTTATTAAAACAGCATCATCTGCTTCAGTGTGGTGCTGTTCAAAGTCTAGCAGGGGTCAGAGGCAGCAGTGAATCTAATATTCTATTGTCTATTTCTGCTTAAACAGGTGATTCTTGACTTACACCTGGTTGGCTAGCAACCAGTCATGGTTGTGATAAACCTACCTGGGAGCTTCCTAAGGCCAGATTAGAAATTTCAATTCCCCTCAAGGTCACATGGCTAAACTTTGGGTGCTCAGCAGCTGGACCCACATTGATAGTTTGCAGTATTCCAGTTTACGTCTTTAACAAAAAACAGCATCTGCTTCCAGTTTTTGACAAAACCATCGGTTCATTTAAAAACTGCTGCAAAAAAGATAGTAAAATCAAGTTGGTCAGGTGACCCAGCGGTCCCCAATCTTTCCAGCTCTACAGACTGGCAACGTGGGGAGAACAGGATGGTCTCGTATATGCGTGCACCACTTATGCAAATGTAGTACTGGGCCACGGATCAGGTATTGGGGACTCCTTTTGTGACCAACCCGTTTCACAATCATCACAACTTGCAACTGTGATGGACAGAGACCCCATTACCATCATAAATGAAGGACTACCTGAATTACAAGTTTTGTCTTTCCGTAGTTTTGCACATTTCAGCTACTGGCAATGGGGCAGGGGGATAAAGGTGTGAACATATTTGTGTCACTGGTTTGCATTCTTGTCTGTGGCTGTCTTATGGGAGATGAATGTTTCCAGCAGACGAATTTCATGTAGAACAGTTCAGAGATTTACGACTTACTCATGCTGCTGGAAGGGATAAGTCAAGGATCTTAGTGCAGTGTTTCTGTAGCTGTTTCAAGTATAAAGAGACAAGCTAGTTCAATTGGATTGTTAGTTTTTGTTAAAGCTAAATCCCTTTAGTACTTTAGTATAAATAATGTTATTAAACTTATTGGAGAAGATTGATGAGCTAATGGTTCTTTAATACTGGTTTGGTTTCAGAATATCATAGAACAATTGACAAGGTTACTATAGTTAGCTACATCTTCTAGTCTGGAGCAGTCTTAACTAACGTAAGCAGGTATATAACAAGTGCTCAGATGGGGTAATTATTTTCAAAGTATATGTGAGATCTGCAAGAGGGAATCAAAAGGCCTTGGGAATGGACAACCTTGACCTCTGATTGTTCGGCTTGGAGGCTAAAGATGCAGCATGGCCGTCTCCAATTCAAAGAGAGATTCGGCAGGCTGAGGCAAAGAGCCAGTCTAGGAACCAGCGAAATCTGCGGGCTGGACAGGGGACTGTATCTGTCCTCAGTGTGGAAGGGATTACCATTCTCAAATTGGCCTTTTTAGCCACACTAGATCCTGTTTTAGGACCTCTTTTCAGAGCCCGATACCATGGTCTTGAGATTGAAGGATGCCAATATATATAAAATATAATATGTGAGAGGCAGGTAACCTGTGGGTCGTAAGTGGCTGCCCAGCATCTTGTCTGGTCCCCCAGAGGAAGTACGGCTGGAACATAATGCAATATTCTTAGCTGAGGATCTTGGCACATTTGAGAATCTCTTGTTGTCATTTTTAAATATCAATAAAAAATTTCCTTTTTTTCTCCAGAGATTAAGGGCTCCTCATTACTTTTTCTGGCGATGGCAGCACCAAATGAGCTGCTAAGCGGCATGAAGCTAAAGACTGAGAAAGCTTACTATCAGTTAAGAGAATTATGTCTTAATTTTTTAATCAACAGGGCAAACTAAAGTCTTGTCTGAGATAGAAGTCTTGGAAACACCCAAATTCGAAGGTGGATGTATGTTGCATGCCCAAACATTAATAAATAAATACACACACACACACACACACACACACACACACACACACACACACACACACCAAGAGATACGTGTCTTGATTGAAAACTAAAGTACAGTTCAAAGGCCTTTATTACAACTGGGGTCATTTTTTTTTTAACCATTGAAAATTACACTTAATTTGGTTATACTAAACAAAGCAAAAGTACCCTTTCTCTCAACCGTAGACTATTGGGACTGGATCAGAAACACTAAACCAGATAAGAAAAGGCTACACCTTAGCTTTCAGTGCCCCTTAGAAAACAAAACAAAACTTAAGAGAGCACAAGACAGCTAGTTACTTTATATTGCTCTACATTCTCCATCTTTGCAACCTCAAAGGGCTTTGGTTTAATACAGATAGAATTCCAGTATTTCAGCCTTTTGCAGCACCTTTTAAAGCATTCATGCATCAAGGCCTTTCTTTCAGAGTTGGTTAGCATGTTGGATTTAATCGTCAGAAGCAGCCTTGGACCATACAAGTATGACTGTTTCATTCAGGCCTTTGCAACACCTTAAAGCAGAATGTCCTTTCGTAGGATCATCTGTGGGCATCAATTATACAATTCCACAAAAAAGATGTAGCCTCTTTTTCCTTCATTTCTCTTATCAATTCAAAGGAGTCTCTAATAATGCAACATACCTATCTATCTAAAAAGTATCTGAAAAGGGATTGTAAAAATGTAGTGCTTTTATTGTGCATTATTAATCTGTTTAAATCAAGCAAGGGAAAAAACGTAAGTGTTATTGCAGTGTTCCTGTTCTTGTTCTCCCTGCCCCATTTTGATTAACTTTTCCATTAGAGTTTAGTTAAAGTGCTCCAAACAGATGCTGCTGGGAAGTTCTGGAAGTTGAAGTCCACAAAGTTTTCAAGTTGCCCAGCCCTGCCCACTGTTAGAATAGACGTTCATTTGGTAGGTATCTCCCACTAAGTCCCATTTCCTCCATATAAATCCAATTTCAGTATGCTGACATACACATTATCGGTTCTTTTGCCTTTTCCTACCTCATACAAACCAACGGACTCTACTGCCTGGACTCCTAAATCCTCCATCGTAGGAGCCCAAGCCAAGCCTGATGGGAGCCATGGCATTCCCTTCCTAGGAGGAATTTTCACGATGGTCAAATGGAACTTCCCTTTGGAAGGAGGGCAAATCACAGTCAAGCCCTTTTTAGTGAAGCCATTTTCCAGATTTTGAGCCAGGGCTCCCAGTTGGGGTACAGGGTCTGGTGCCAAGTACAAAACCCGTGAATTAAAAGTTTCCACATTACGGAAGGAGAGAAGCAAGACTGGAGGCAGCAGTCGCTGAAAACCAGCCTGAAGTTCTTCCAGAGCCATCATCGCTTTGTGGATTTCTTCAGGGGTATCCAAATGCAACAGGCAAAGTGTAATATGCAGTGTAGCTCTGGGCACACAGAAGGGAGCGTAATCTGAGCTGACAGCACACACAGCCTCCTGGAAAAGTTTCACCACTTCCCGGATTTCTGGGCTGGTGATTGGGATAGCTATGAAATGGGTGGGGCGCTCCTTCGGATAGGTGAAGCTCCTCCCTCCCCTCTTTTCCAAATCCAGGTTTTCTCTCTCTACCATAACTGGTTCATTTTCTATTCCGATAGCACAAGCATGTTTGAATTCTTCACACTTAACAGAGCTGATTGTCTCTCTTCCCTTTTCTTTGCTGGCTACATTTCCTTCTTGGTTGTTGGACAGGTCTTCAGCCAACTCCAAATTATCCCCTGCTTCACCCAAAGCCATCACTAACTTCTCTCCACCACTTGTCCCATTCAACTCTTTCTCTTTGGCTGAATCCCTATCTAACTGTTCTTCGACTTGGGGGCTATTTGGAAAATTCAATAGTTCCTTCTTAGCTTGGGTGTCTTCTTCCTTCATCACTTCTAAGATGGTTTTCCCACTTCCTGTGGACCCAAAAACGTCATCGGTGCGACTGACTTTGTCCCAAACCACACGGTCTCTGTATTTAAAATACTGGATCCTATGTTTAGGGATAGCTAGTACACCAGGACCAACTGACGCTAGATCCTCCCACGAGAAAGAAGTAAAAGATTCCTCCAAGATGCCCAAGAACCGGTCAAGGTAGCCAATAGAAAATTGTTCAGCAGGTACCTGTGTATCCCAGAGGAGCCGGGAAATGACATCCTCAGCTGTCTTCATGGCAGGTTTCTTCCCTTCTGTGAGCGGCAAGGAAGGAACATGAACAGGTCCACAATCTTTTAAATGGTGAACCTCACCAACATCACCAGGATGATAGTTTTGGCAGCGGGCACCAAAATGGCAGCGTCCCTCCAAGAAAAAACGACAGGGAGGGTTGATATTGGAAGATGACTCTTCAGTCAAGGATGAGTCTGGATCTTCTGATGGTTCCAGAAGACTTTCAGAAGGGTGGTCAGTGAAGTCCTTTCCAGAGGAGACAACTAATTCATCCATCGCTGTATGGAAGAAAGAATTAAAATCAGAAGAACAAAGGTGGATCACGTGCAGATTCACTTGCTGTCCCAGGGACAGTTCATAGCAGAAAAACAGTTATGGGATGAGTGGGATTGTTGAGCTGAGCAACTCACGTTAAGGGCAAACGTAATGGCTCTAGGCAGTGTGATGATGAATCATGAACCAGGAAGTTGGTCAAAAAAAAAATTCCAAGTTCAGGTGTGTGCCAAACTTTTCCCATGGAGACACTTAACAGAATATGCTACAGTCATGGACATCAATGAATTATTCTGCCCTGTTAATCTCTCAGATTGAAGCCTCCCAACATATTAATTCAAGGCACTCTTCTTTTTTTAACAATGTTGGTATTTCAGAAATTTGGAAACTGAGGCATTAACCTCCGTTGCTAATTGTAATCTGTACAGTATGTCCATACCGCACAGCTTTTCAACCACCTTGATTAAATTCAATCCTTTTATTATTATTATTATTGTGGGCATACATAAAGATACCACAAAGTAGTTTAACAGTCACTGTTTTCCCTTTAGCCCAATATTTTTTCAACCTCAGCATGTGCAGCCTTCAAACTCCCAGAACTGAAATCAGTACATTTTAAAGTAGTTAAAGTGATAAACAAAATATGGAACATCAGAGTTGAGGTGACAGAACAAATTCCTAAACCAAAATTAATTTTGATTAAAGTAACCCATCTACCATTCCTGTACTTCAGTTCATTTGCCATTTTTTATGTTTTATTGCAATTTCTTTTGATTCTTATGAACCATCCAGGGTCAGGCAGCATCCTATTATTATTATTATTATTATTATTATTATTATTATTATTATTATTATTATTATTATTATTATCATTATTATTATTATTATTATTATTATATCTTTGGTGAGATTCATAGCCTTTAGGGCTGGTTGGTAGCTCAACAGCTCAAGTCCTAACCAAGGACCTAGGAACTATTAAGGTAGGGCCAAGTATTATTAACATTATCATTATTATTATTATTATTATTATCTTTTATTCATTAAACATGAAACTCAGTCAACTGAACATTTAAAAATGTATTACAAATATTGACTGGCACTGATGATTGATATGGATTGCTGCCAGCATTATTATTATTATTATTATTATTATTATTATTATTATTATTATTAT